ACCCAGGAGGTGAGGCTGAGGAGCCTGACGCCGAGGGAGGCCTGGTGGGAAAAGACACGAAACCGGGCCTTCTCGGCGGTGGCTCCTCGCCTTTGGAACAATCTCCCTCCTGAGATTCACGCGGCCCCTACGCTGGGTACATTCAAAACTCAACTAAAAACATGGCTCTATGTCAAGGCCTTCCCTCCTGCCAGCACCTAATCTAACTTAATTTATTTTTCACTTCTTTATCTATTTATTATTTACGATTATTTATGATTTCTGTCATTTTCTGTTAATTGATTTTTAATTTATTTTATTATAATTGTATATATGTTCCTGTTAGCCGCTCAGAGTGGTATAGATTTACCAGATGAGTGGGATATAAATCAAATAAATAAATAAATAAATAAATAAATAAATTTGAAGGGCCACAATATACCAGATAACTTATTTTATGCTTCTCATGTATTTATGCAAGTTTATATAGAATAAGATCATAAATTATCCAATATGTTCTGCAACTTATGTGCACATCCAAATAGGATTAAAACCTATTAAACGTATAAAATCAAATATCACTTGCTTTTATGGATTGAGCTTTGTATTCAGGGGAATTTCTGCAGTAAAAGTAGTATTTTTTTTCCTGGTTGAAGTGTTTTCCTTAACCTTTCAACAGAGCTGAATATAAAGTAAAGACAAACTCATTTGGTCACATTAGTTTCATGTTGTCTTTGCTGCTGCTGCTTCCTGTCATATTTCTTCTCACATTTCTCCCCCACTGTTGAAATGTAGACCAAAAGCTCTTGGAGGCTCCGATTTCACACATAATCACAGTGTGTATGTGCACATTACATTTCATAAAGAAATTTTTAAATGTGTTGCACTGTATGTTTGCTCCATCAACTACAGTAAATGCAATATATGGCTTGTTCTCGTTCCTATTGTGATCAAAGACTGGAGCATTTCGATAATTTTTAAAAGTCGTTCTCCAACAAAATCAAAGGATTACCCAGGGAAAGATAACTGAATGCCATCATAAGCTTACTAAATCAGAAGGACTAAATGGTGTCATGCTCCAGTAAACTTTAAAAAGATATAATAGTGCTTCCTACATAAGGTAAAGGTAAAGGTTCCCCTCGACAAATTGTCCAGTTGTGTCCGAGTCTAGGGAGCAGTGCTCATCCCCATTTCCAAGCCGTAGAGCCAGCGTTTGTCTGTAGACAGTTTCCGTGGTCATGTGGCCAGCGCAACTAGACACAAATCGACATTACCTTTCCCACCATGGCGGTACCTATTTATCTACTCGCATTTTTACATGCTTTCGAACTGCTAGGTTGGCAGGAGCTGGGACAAGCGACGGGAGCTCACTCTGTCGCATGGATTTGAACTGGTGATCTTTCAACCTTGCAGCCCAGAGGCATAGACAATGGACTAAATATTGATTCCCAGGAGTATTAGCAGAAAGAATTAAGTTGCTGAGTAACAAAGAACAAAAGATAGTTCATAGAAGGAGGATTGACATGTACACTGTTGTACAGACAGAATGGTCCATGAAATGGATTATCACAGACATGGCTCACAACAATATCCACAATTCAAATGTGCAGCTGGAATCACATGCATCTAGCACTTGCAGACATCACATATTTGTCATAACTATAACTTTCTCAGGCTATGCACTTAATGCCACCATAGGTCTCAATGATTACCAATTTTGTAGCCTTTCTCCTACCTAACAGCTTCTGCCACAATCACTAGGATTACCTGCATTTAGAGAAAGAACATTTTTGTACAAACACTGACCCAAGCACTGCACAATCATCTATAATTGACACTGCAAGATCCATCTTAGGAGGCAGTACGAATAGCCCAAAAAAGTCAAAAGGAGAACAATGCATAAATGCAGCAAAGCAAAACTATATACTGAAGTATAAAGAGGGAACAAAATGTTCATATTTTGTATAAGATGTGGTGCTGAAATTTTGTAAATATCTATCTTTGTTAATTTTCTTTGTAGGAATAGTTGTACCAGGCAAGGTTAAACTGACCAGTATTAGAGATTTTAGGGGAATAGGCTTTTTTAAAAACAAAAAAAGACTTCATGAATGACAACTGAAGGCTTTTCAAAAATGATGTGATCTGGCCCACTCATAATTTTTAATACTATAAAATTCTGTATTGCCTATTTAATATAATACGTGTTTTAAGTTTCTGTCCTATAGACAGCCATTGCTAGCGACATCAAATTACCATACCTGTTGCCATTTTCCCTTCAGTGCTGGATCTCTGATTGACTGACAGTGTCGCTGAATTTGCTGGATGACACCCTGGTAGTAAACCATTGAGGAGTCGTAATTTCCCAAAAGTGCATATTCTCTTCCTTTTTTAGCATTATCACAAATCTCAGCCAAATTCATCTTCCTTGGAAAACCTACAACAGAACTCAAATTAATGGAAATAACATATTGTTTACAAAGCTAAACAACTTGTTCAACAGGCATATCTATACCTGTTTTATTATTTTCCATTATATACAGTACTATTGCCTTATTACTTAAATCTACAGTCAGCACTGAAAAACATTTCCAGCCATCTCTCTTACTTCTAGAACTTCAACAAGAATTGCCCACATACCTTCAAGGCTATATTCACAGCTGTGAGGACCGGAAACCTAATCTTAAGAAAACATAAACTTTTGACAGTCAGCTGTAGGTTATTCCTCCTCTCCAATGAACCTATTATATGACAGATTACATGTTTTGCTTAAAAAGCATAGCTCACGGGTAAGGTTTGGATATTTATTTATTTATTTATTTATTTATTTATTTATTTATTTATTTATTTATTTATTTATTTTTACTGCTTCTTTTCCTTTAAAAGGACCCAAGGTGGATTACACACTAAAAAGGCAATACTGTATTTAAAAGCTTAAAAAAAGCAATTATACAAATATTTTTAAAAAATTAAACAAAAATTAAAAACTATAAATAAAATCATTACTAAAACACATTTAAAAGCAACAAAGTACAACAATCCATTAAAAAAAATATTCACACAGTCACTAAGGAAAAGCCCGCCTGAAGAGAAAGGTCTTCAGCTGCTTGCATAAGGCCAGCATAAATGGTGCCAGCCCAGGCTCCTGTGCGAGGGACATCCGGAGTGGCAGCAGCAACAAAGAAAAGCCATCTTCATCAAAAGTACCCATGAGGATTGTGGGACCAAGAGAAAGGCCTCTCCTGATGATCTTAGCTTTCAAAAGACCTCAAACTTGCTCACTAGACAAAAAGTTGGCCTTATCTTATTTTTGTAAACTCCAGATCTTGTAAACAACACTATGCTGAATGACAATCATAAAATAGTCAAAATGTGACGTGTGTGGTGATATTCTAAGCTTCCATCTAGCAATGTCCTTTTTTGTTTTAGTGTACTGAATTGCTGATTACTGGTTGTTGGCCTCTTTCCAGGGAATCATTCTGAGCAAATTAATGCACTTGAGAACCAGTAAAGCCTTCAGAATGCTTCTGAGAACCCAGCCTAAGAAAGGCTGATGTCACCCAAATATTTTTGGTACAAGGAAGACATGTGTCACTACTATATATGACATCATTACGATAAAAAAATTATCATATTGTCATCTCAAAAAACAGACCCAATACATCCGGAGGTCAAGAGAATGCATCTCAAAATGAGTCCTAATAAAACCTTCCTCATTTCAAATTCAGATGAAGGCAGAAAAACGCTTCATGAAGATGCTCATTTTTCAAATATATATTCTTACAATGTCCACCATTCCTTGTTAATATTTTTTCTTTTTTCTTCTACTTCTAGAGAGTGTGCAAATCCTTGAATCTCTTGGAACTAAGAGAGAACATAACAAAAGAAACCAAGTCTCATGCTGTGCTGCTAGTTGAAAAACTGTATGTATTTGTCATGTTGGTCCAACATGTGTAGCTGCAGTGAGCGGCTAAGGCTAAAGGTGTGCCAGTTTTAAACTGTGATGTAGTGGTTAGAGTGCTAAATTGGATCCAGGTTCAAATTCCCACTAATCCTTAAAATTAATTGGGTACCTTGGACCACTCTTCTTTTTAAGCCTGACCTACCTTGCTGGTTATTATAAAAATAGAGAAAAGATGCCTACATATATAATCTTGCACTCACTGATGGATTAGAAATGCAATTAACAAAGAAACAAGACACAAATCAAAATTCATTCTTTTAAAATATCACCAGTGCAGATGCATTGTTAGAAACATTTTTCAGACATAATTGTGATCCACATATTTATATTTTCTCATTTCGTTTTCTCACTGTTTCTCATTCTCCAAAAGTAAAATAATCAGAGAAAGACTGGCATATTCTCTGACTTTTTAAAAACCCATAACTCACAATGATTGTACCTATTAGAGTGAATAATCAATGGTCCTCGCCACTGGTTATATTAGCTAAGGGTGATGGGAGTTGCAGTGCAATGAATTCTGGAAGACCACAATGGTCACCACTGTATTACACTAAGTGTCTGCAGCCTTAGGTCCACAGATATTGTTGGACTTCATATCCCAGACATCACAGCATGACATGGTCACAGATTTTGGAAGCTTGCTACATCAACATCTGGAGGACTCAAGGAAACTACTGCATTTGAATATACATCAACAGCTATCATGTGTCATTCATACCAGTTATTTAAAAAGAAAAGATATCTAGTACCAGGGTGGATAAAAGTCAATGATTTTTTAAAATCAAATTGTTTTACATTAAAATTTAAATCACAATTTGAATTTAATATTTTTGTAATTTTAATTGTCAAAAACAAATCCACCCTGTCTAGCAGCAGCAATAATATTATCTCTGTGACCAGCCCCAGTTAGCAATTTGGCTGCAGCATTTTAGAAATGCTGAAGTTTACAAACACTTTCCAGTAGCAGACCTATATCAAGTGTGTTACATTAATCTAACTGGGATGTAACTAAGACAGGTGTCATCATGGTCAGATCAGACTTCTCCAGGAACATAACATCTTTAGTAGCTGTTTCATGCCTCCTACAACTCATCAGAATGCATATAAGGGACAATTCACATAACTGTATGTACGCAACATCTCTGAAAAACCACAGGATTCTTGAAATGTCTCATTAGTTACCACTAACCATTCCACATTTGTAAAGCAGTGCATTTGATGATGACCAGAAGCAATGTTCCTTAAAACGCTGCCAACCTTTGCTAATATGATACAAATACAATCACACACAACATGGGTCTGTTAGTGTGCTGCCAAGCACTTTATTAAATAAAAATATTTTTAAAGATTCCTGAGAAAAACAATTTTTAAATATTCACCTCATAAGTTTTTTTTTTCAAATAGGATGTTGATAAAAAGTCTGCAGCCTCAATCACAGACGCTGCAACACACATCTGGTTTCACCGTATTGCTTGTGTTTACCAATTTTCAGACTGGTATTTGTTTGACCTTTTTAAGTATGTGTATATTTACTGTTTTTTAGCATTAAATATTGTCTTTTAATGATAATAAACCACCTTGGGGTCCTTTTTAAGGAGAAAGACAGGATAAAAATATTTTAAATAGATAACTCTCCTTTGTTCCACAGCATCAACTCAGTCCCACATTATACATCACAGTGTCCCCTTTTTGTTGATTTTACAGCCTTCGCTTCTACCTCTTTGTCACTTAAACGTCTAAAACCGCTGCCTAGGCAACTTACACTCCAAATGATAAAGGCCTCATGACAGACACTGAATCAGAGAAGGGGAGGAGCCTCTCTGCACCGTTATATAGGCGCGGTCCCTATATAAGCAACCGCTTCCCCAACCACCACCTAAAGCTAAATGCTCTCCGCCTTTGCCCGCAGGCCCTCCCCGTTACCGACCCTCCTGTCAGAATAAGAGAGCGAGAGGGAGACCCACGGGAAAAATTAACAACACGAACCTGCTGCCCAACCCAAACACCGAAGCCTCTCTGGGATTTGTAGTTTCTTTTAAGCGGGCGTCTCCTCAGGCAACCAGACAAGCCGAGAGCCAATCAAACTACCCTTCCCATCATGCTTCGCGAGAGGGGAGAGGGAATCCCTGTCTCCCTGGTCCCCTTTTACTAGCTTACTTGAAGCAGAACAAACGCCTATTTTTTATGAAATCCGGCGGCTGGTTATTCCCGTCTCGAAGGGTTTGTGGCTTCGCATCCTGAGGACCCGGCCCTGCTGCGACGGGATGCGAGAAAGGATAGAATGGCTCTCGGCCTGTTAGCGGACCGGGCCGCGTCCTTCGAGTGTTCGTGGGCGCGTAGGCGCGCAAGGAGAAAAAAAAAAAAGAGGGGGCGCAGCCCTCCGGCTCCCTCAGCCGTCGGCGTGCGCGCGCGGTAGTGGCGGCGGCCGGTTACCATGGAGGCGCGCGCGCCCGCGCGGAAAGGGTGGGAGGGAAGTGGACGGGAGGCGTTGAGAGCGCCGGTCGCTCCTCCCTCTGCTGGTGGGAGGGAAATCTGAATCTCTTCACAAGGCTGGTCATCCCTCCTCGCCTGCCTTTTAAGCAACCAAAAAAAGATTAGTGTTTTCTGTGGCTCTCCAGCGGGGACAAATGACACCGTTCCTCTCCAAGTCAAAGTGCAGAATACTGAAGGCCAACCCGATTGTTTTGACCTTCGAGGGAGAATATCCCAATATAGTCATATACTGGGATATTTTCCCTCCAAGGGTCAAAACAATTGGGTAGGCCTTCAGTAGCGGTTTTATTTTTAAAATAAAATAGGGTTTTATTTTTGAAAAACATTTCTCCTTAAAAAAGACCCAAGGGAGCTTACATCATTGAAAGACAATATTTAAAGCTGAAAACAATGAGTATGTATAACCATGGCAAACATTATTTAAAAAACAGTACTTAAAGCAAAGAACAATGAGTATAAAAAGTCAGCTTACATCGTTAAAAGACAATGTTAAAGCTAAAAACAGTAAGTATGCAAATATTGAAAAGGAACAAACTGGATTCTCAGCCAATTCATAGCACCTGAACTCGCCTGCCGCACTCTGCCTAACTGGACAACTGGCCTTTCTCTTCAAACTGGTGTCCTTAAGTGACTCTTAACTTTATTCATGCCCCTCCCACTGCCACAAGGTGAAAGCAGAAGCTTTCAAGATGTGTACACAATACAAGAAATCTCGATTTTACTTTAGGTGAATTTGAGTGTTTTAATGTTTGATTATACTTGATTTTTTTTTCGTCCGTAACTCAAAGCTCCAAAGGCCGCAAGTCGAAGCAATATTTTGCAGCTGGAGCTTTTCATAACTCAAACATTTCGTAAGTAGGGATGTTCGTAAGTTGAGACGTCACTGTACACCATCGAGCAAACCAGGACTCACTGCAGTACAGGAGTGTGCTCAGGACACAGACTCTATAGACATGGATCTTGGTATATGCCGTATAATGCCCTATATAGGAGCCTCTCTAAGCACTATGATTCCAACAAAGCACAACAGACACCAAGACCAGGATAGAGGACCTCCCGTTCGATGTTGTGGGTCTGTTCAATGCTAAGACAGACGATATGATGGAAAACATTCATAAAATGAGAAAAACAGTAACATGTACCACAGCAACCCTACCAATATCAGAAACCTTCCTACAGAAAGCCATATTATCAACAACAGCAGTACCAATATCAACCCTTTCGCCCTTACAAGCAGCACCATCATGAAAGACCCTACCAGTCCACATCTAACACTGCTCCACAATTCAGACAGCAGCAATCCCAGAATGCATTTTGTATGCAATTGTATGAATTTCATGAACACTTTCACTACAATATGTCTTTATACTACATTCCCTAAAATATGCATTTTTGTACACAGATTTTGAGCCAAGAGCTGCATCATGAGATTCAAGGTGCAGCATAATTTAAAGAATTCATAGGCATCCTTCAGTCTCGAGAGGCTATGGTAACGTGCTCTGTATGGAGGACTTTGATGCTGTATGCAAAGCTGGAGTGTCCTCTCCAGAGCACGAAGCCTGGGTAAAATAATATGGAGGATAGGCTGTTAACCAAGCAGCAAATCCCCCCTCTCCACATCACTGAAATAGTCCAATGGAAAGGCAAGAGCCAATACAACTGGTTCCAGTGATGTCGCAGGAGTTGCCAGAACGACACGAACTGCCTCTGGGACTCCAGCTCCGGATTTTGCCTCGAGGCTTACTCCTGAAGCCTTTTCCATCAGTGGATATAGCCACAAAGCAGTGGCTGTTTGAAATCAGAGTATTCCTTCTCCTAGATGGGCTGCCTTCCATGGCTGACAAGCCCCACCTACCCGGTATTACGAAATTACTGCGTTCCAATATGCATGTTATATAGGAAGTATAAATTAGTTCCATTTGCTGAAATATGACAACTAAACTAAACTAAATTCTCTAGTGTTCCTAACACTGTTACTGTTTATCCAGACCTAGTGTCCAACTCACTGTCTCCTCTGACTTCTTCTGACCAAGGTGAACAATATGATTTCTTTTAATCTTCCAAGTCAGCAAACTGCTGATTTTACTATTAGAAAACAAAAAATGAGACAAAAATAAATAAAAGGTAAGTTTCTTCATGGTATATTAGCTTGAACAATTATTAAAGCCCAAGGAGGCATTTTCATTTTTCAAAATGGAAGTGGAGTATGGTTTTGGGCAGGACACAGGAATTATTCGCAATGTGTCTGATGGAATGAGTTACAGTCCACAAAAAGCTTATGCCAGATAGAATATGCTAGTCTTCAAAGAGCCATGAGATTCTTCATTGGTTTTGCTGACACGAAGGACTGTGGGCTATTTGCATAACCAGAACCAAGAATTTAGAAATGTTAGTCCTTTTTTTTTACTACAGCTCCCCAGATTCCCTGTTAGCTGCATGGACAGGAGTTGTAGACTGGCAGTTGTAGTCAAAAAATAATTTTTACAAGCTCTGCACAAAACATGCATATTGACTGCATCCACACCATCAGTACTCCTCCTGGCCTGGGTTTGATTTCTGTGTTAAAGGCTATGGGATTGCAGGTTTGTCTCTAAGAAGTTATCAGCTACTGTCATCGTCAAACGCCACCTAGTGGATTTAACAAGAAATAAAACTTGTGAAAAAATACTGTACTGTACTTAAATTACATAAAGCAAATTAAAAAAATATTTAGAGCAAATTGTAGGGATTCAGATTTCAACATCATAATACTGCTTCTGTTTTATAGAGGGCCCTCTGATTCAGTAGTTCTTTGTCGCATTTTATTTCACTATGACATTTTTCTCCCATCTCCTGTTCTGCTATTACTTGTCTTTGCTGTGCGAAGTAGAAATGAAGAAGTAGCACGAAATACAGATTTGCCTCACCAAACAGCAAGCTAGGATGCTTTCTCACAAGAAACAAAGCAATCCTGTTGCAGGATGGATGAATGAATGGGGAAAGCTTCTGTGGTATTGCCAGCACTATATCCAAAGCCCAGCCACAGACCAGAAGGAAGGATTTCCCCCAAAATAATAATAATATATGATGGTATAACAGAATCAATATGTTTAGGCCAAGGAATGAGACAAGGATGTCCCTTATCTCCAACTTTATATTGATAATAGAAGTGCTGGCACAAGTGATCAGAATTAAAGGTGTAGACAATAGAGAGGAGGATAAAATAAATATTTTTTGCAGATGACACACTATTAATAATTAAAAACCCAAAAGAAACATTGCAGATTATTAGAACACATTTTAATCATTTTGAAGAAATAACGGGTTTGAAAGTAAATTGGGAGAAATCAATGTATTTTATTAAATCGTTCAGAAGTAGATGAGAAAAAATGAAAGAAGAATTTAAGGGAAGAATTGAAAGTATAATTACTGGAAATGTCAGAACATTTTAATAGATTGGAGAATGTCCTCTTTAAAGAGTTTGGTGCAATTTCACTTGTTAATTTTTTCTTGAGAGAAGGAATTTGAATGTCAGCAAAAGGGGTAGGTACGAGATCAACGGTAATGAGTGAGAAGGATAAAGTGGAAAGGGTGCTGTGTGAGACATTTGGATGCCTTCTTGGGATAATTAAGCATTAGTGTGTGAAAGGTGACAACCATTTAAATGTGATGATGCAGTACAGAGAAGTTCATACCTACCGGGACAAACTTCTGTGTGGTCATGCCCTTACTGTGTCATGCCACATTTTACCTATGCTCTTAAAAAAGAGAGAAAGACCTTTGCAACGGCTCTTACAATTCAGTTGTGTGTGTTTGCATGTGTGTGCTCACAGGTGCATATGCCTCGGCTCAAGCTTCCCTGTTATGGAGTAGAGGGGCAGAGGCATTAAACAGTTGCTGGCATAACAGGAAGAAACCCTCCTCAGCCCTCATAACCATCCTGTATAGAAATGACAGTGCAAAGTCTGCATGGGCAAGCTTGAGTGAAATGGCATCTTGCTTGTTTGTGATCTGAAGAAACCTTGAAGTCTGAAAAACAGGGTTTTTTTGTTTTCAAGTTGGGGAGGGAGGAGAAAGGAAAGCAAGGAAGGGTGACTTTCTGCTTTCATGCACTGCCCCGCAGATGCCACTAGAACAGATGTCTGCCTGAAAAGACTTTTTTGCACCTGCCAAAGCCACCAGCCTCTAGCTTCCTTCCTTGTTTCTTTTTCTCTCCTTTTAAAGGCCTCAAATGGAGAAGAGCAGTTGAGCACTGTGCAAAATGCTTTGTGGTTGTCATTCTATTTCCCTCCAGACATTCTATCTAAAAAAAAAAAAAAAAAAAAAAAAGTCAGACAGCAAGCCTGAAGAGATATGAACTATGAACGAACAGAACTTTGCTCTGAGCCTTTTATATTAGAGTAGAAAAGAACTTAGGAAAAGAGACGAAGTGTCTGTCAGGAAGTACATGATCTTTACAAGAGAGGAGTTTATTCTACAAATCCAAACAGGGTTGTTCTTCGACATTTTTCAGTTGGGATGTGTTGATTCCTGCTCCCCGACCAAGACCTGTGTTTCTACAAGCTTTTGAACTATACAGAACACTTCCTCAGGGAGAGCAGAAGGTAACTGAGCCTCAGTTACAGACAGCAAGAATATTTACTGATGTTATTTTTCTCATGCTGCCAGGAAGGAATGTTTTAATTATGAATATTTGCAATGCATCAACAGTCATGTGTAGTTTTTATACAGGTTGCAGGCTTCTGAAAGGTTCCTCTTGCTGTTTGGTATACTTTTTTTTTCATTCTCTCTAGTTCCCTCAGATCTGCCTCTGGGGACAGAGGTTTTTTGGTCCAGCCAGAATGCCAATGAGCTTCTGTTCTTCAAAGTTTTGACAAAGATAGAAAACCACTAGTACCTTAGACATTTTATTGTATAAATGATTGACAGAGATATGTCATGATACAATATAACAAAAAGGAAACAATTTGGTGGGTCACACACTGGCGCCTTCCT